CCATGTCGGAAGGAAAACCTCGACATGTAATTTCGGGGTGTCCTTCTTGGGACCCTCTTGGGCAGTATTTTTTTGGTTGGGGGGGGGTCCTGGGGTTTTGTTGGGCCGTTTTGGATGCGGTGGGGGCTGTCTTGGGGCCCTCTGAGGAGCCACTTGGGCCGTCTTGGGACGGTCTTTAGGGCCTCTTGGGTCGTCTTACGCGGATAAAGCGAAAACGTTGAAATCGATCGATGTCCTTAGGGTCTTGAGCCGTTTCGGTGCTCCGCGGGACCGTCGGGGAAATGATCCTGGGCCTGCTTTCTCCGCTTGGGATGGCCTGGAGGCATCCCGGAACCGAAAATGCGAATTGCTTCCTGACGGGAGCGCCAAGGGACGAATTTATCTGGGGGGGGTCTTGATTATTATATTCGAGACATAATATTTAGATATTTATACAATATGAACGCGCGCGATCCGTGGGCGCTTGGAGGGGGGGGGGTGGAATGCCCCCCCGGATTGAAGGGGGGAAAGGTTCGACCCCCCCCCCTTCTCCCGTGACGGGGGGGGGTTCACCCCCCCCCCGCCCCTACTTTTCCTGTCTCCCTCCCCTCGGGCCGGCGCTAGTGTCGGCGGCGGCTGGCGGAGGCGGCGGGGAGCGTCGACGAAGACGACGACTTCTTGGCCGGCGCCAGCGCTTGCGGCGGCTGGCGGCGGCGGCGGGGGGCGTCGACGAGAACGACGGCGACAACAATGACGACGACAACGAGGCTCCGCCACCGTGCCTTGGTTTTGGGCAAGAGTCCTAATGGATGCCTTTTGGGGTCTCGCCGGAGCTTCCGAAGGCATCTGTGACGCCTCCTGGGCGCCTCTTGGACGTCTCTTGGGTTCTCTCTGAGGTGGTGGTGGTAGTGGTAGTGGTGGTAGTGGTGGTGGTAGTGGTGGTGGGTTGGTGGTAGTGGTGGCGGGTTGTTGTGGGTATGGTGGTGGTGGTGGTGGTGGATTGATGTGGTGGTGGAGGCGTGGTGGTAGTGGTGGCTCTGGTGGTGGAGGCGTGGTGGTTTGTGGTGGTGGTGGTGATGGTGAGTTGTGGTGGTGGTGGTGGTGGTGGTGGTGGTGGTGGTGGTGGTGGTGGTAGTGGTGGTGGCGGTGGTGGTGGAGGCGTGGTGGTTTGTGGTGGTGGTAGTGGGCTGTGATGGTGTTGGTGGTGGTGCTGCTGCTGCTGGTGGTGCTGGTCGTGGTGGTGGGTGGTGGGTGGTGGTGGTGGTTGTGGTGGTGGTGGTCGTGTGGCGGTTTGTGGTGGTGGGGGTGGTGGTTGTGGGTCGTGGTGGTGGTGGTGATGGCGGTGGTGGTGGCGATGGTGGTGGTAGTGGTGTGGTGGTAGTGGTGGTGGTGGTGGTCGTGGTGGTTGTGGTGGGTTGTGGTGGGTTGTGCTGGTGGCGTTTTTGGTGGTGGTGGTGTGGTGGTTTGTTGTGATGGTGGTGTTTGTGGTGGTGGTGGTGCTGGTTGTGGTGGTGGTGGTGGCGGTGGTGGTGGTGTGGTGGTTTGTTGTGCGCGTGGTGGTGAGGCCTTCGGGTCTTCCCATCACCGTGTTTTGGCATTGGGTCAGGTGGTGGTGGTGGTGGGCTGTGGTGGTGATGGTGGTGGTGGTGGTGGTTGTGGCGGTGGTGGTGGTGGTGTAGTGGTTGTTGGTGGTGGTTGTGTGGTGTATATGGCGATTTGTGTTCCCCTCTGCGGCCTCTGGGCCCTCTTTGGCCATCGTCGCTGCGTTCCCGCCGTCGGCGCTGCTGGCCGCCGCCAGCGCCGGCGCCGGAGACGGCGCCGAGGGGGGGGGGGTGGCCCCCCCTTCCCCCCCATGGGCCCTCTCTGGTCATCGTCGCTGCGTCTGCCGTCGGCGCTGCTGGCCGCCGCCAGCGCTGGCGCCAGCGCCAGGGAGGGGGGGGTGCTTAGAGGGGTTAGGGGGGAGGGGAGTCCCCCTGCTTCTGATCGACGGCGCCGAATGTTGGGGGGGGGCCCCCCCTGGTTCGAAACGCGCCGCCGATTGTTTCTAAGGCAAGCGCCCGTGAAACGCGCTCTCTCTGTGTCTCTCTTTTTCCTTTTCTTTCTTTATTTATTTCTTTGTGTTTCCTCTCTCTCATATATATGTATACACAAAAAATGTTTGTAATATTAATATATGTGTATCAGAGTGTGTGTGTGTATATATATTCACATAAGACTGTGTGTTTGCTTCGCGCCATGTTCCTTAGTCCTTCATGGTTGGCATGCAGGCGAAGGAAAAGAAACACAACACACACATACATATATACGTATATAAGGACAAATCATTGTATCATTTTCACGGCGGCGGCGCCAAACTAGTGTTAATATTCCTCCTGCCCTCATGCTTCCTCTTTGTCTCCCTCATTATCGCCCTACCCTGCGAACCCTTCACCATGCTCCCCAGCTCTTTCTGCAAAGGCTCCTCCTTAGAGAACTTCTTGGGGGCCTCACGAAAATGTTCAAGGGCCTCTTAGGGCCTTCTGGAGGCCTCCTGGGCGCCTTCTGGGATCCCTTGGGGGCTTCGTCGGGCCTCCCTGCTGTCAATCGCGGTCTTCTTGAACGACCGGGTCAAGATTTGGAGTGCTTCGAGGGGCGTCTTGGGGCCATTTTGGGTCATCACGGGGATATCTCCGGGCCGTGTTGGGCCCTAAGGGGCCGACTTGGGGCTCCTTTGGACTGTGCGGAAACCCGATTAGGGTAGCTTTAAGCTGATTTTCAAGCGTCTTGGGCGGTCTCGGGCGCCCAGAAGACCGAAGAACCGAGTATCCCTCAAATCACGCAAAGACCAATGGGAAATCCATGTGTTTGGTGTTTCCAAAACCTCTCGGGGGTCTTCCTTGGGTCGTCTTCAGGCGTTTGGTGGGTGCCTTCGCCCGCTTATGGCTCTCGCCGGGCCGTTCGGCCGCCCTTCCAACCGATTTGGGCCCGCTGGCAGGGGTGTCCAGGAGCCCCAGAAAGCTCGGGGAACCTTCTGCGAGCGGGGGTTCTCATTTCTTGTTGGGGGGTCGCACCCAAGCGGATTGCAAAAATCCGCCACCGTGCCTGCGCGGAGTGGGCGTGTTAGGATGCTCGTCTGTTGTTTGGGAGGTTATTTCAAGTTTTGAAGGGCCGTCCCCTCGCCGCGCGCGCCCCTCTCGAAAAACGACCTTTCTGAAATTGCGTTCTGGCGGTCTTTTCGGTCTCCAGACGGCCAAGATGGCCTCCAAGACGGCGTCCAAGACAGCCAAGACGACAACACAACGGCGCAAGATGGCCCGAGAGAGCTCAAGAGCCTCTCAAGAGAGCCTAAAGAGCGCCTCAAGACGGCGCAAGATCGCCCACGAGGGCCTCAAGACGGCCCAAGAGGCCCCAAGACGGCTCAAGAGAGCTCAAAGAAGCCTTCCTGGAGAGAACGAGGGGGCCAAAACCATTAATTTGCCGTGGGTGTTCGAAGGATTTTGAGGTTCTCGCCTGTTCGGGTGTCCGACCACCCAAGGCGCCCAAGAGGCTTCCCAGAGGCCTCCAAGATTGCTCCAGGAGAGCCCAAGAGGTCCCGAAGTTGGCCCCAAGTCGGCCCAAGACGATCCAAAGATCGCCCAAGGGGCTCTCAAAGTGGGCCCCAAAATGGCTTTGAAGCGCTCCGAGAAAACAGCACCACGGCCCAGAGAGGCCTCGTCGGCTGCCTGGTGCGGTCGAAAACGCAAGCATGCCATAACCCCCCCCCCCAAAAAAAACGAGGGAGATCAATGGTCGTGGCCTGCTCGGGCTCTCCTGGAGGGTCTCTTGGAGATATATTTGGCCGTCTTGGGGGCCTGTTGTTCTGTCTTGAGGCCTTCTTGGGAGCTTCATGGCCTCCAGGACGGCTTTCAAGGCAGCCAAGTTCACGCCTCGACTGGGCCAGGGCCGCCAGTGGCCGTCGTCAGTGGGTATGGCACCACGGAGGCGAGACAGTACCGAGCTCCAGTGCACAATCGCACGTACGGCACCAGCCCAAGGACCAAGGTCTTGTCGAAGTGCACAGCGATGGACGCCCCAGCGCCCGGAACACACGCACCCGCACACGTGTTTTGCTTCGCGGCTGGCTGGTCTAACTCACCGAGGGAGTTAGCGGATTACGGTCAGCTGATTCCTGCCGAGCGTGTGCCGATGGGGGCATCTCATGGGGGTGACGCACGCATTCACTTTTGCCGTCGCGGTCACGCTCCCGACGGCGCGGCGTTGGACAAGTCAACACATGCGAACACACACACACACACACTTACACTTTCGGTGGTCGCGGCCTCGCGCGCGGCGACGAGGCGGGGCAAGAGAACACACACGCACACACACACACACACACACACACGCAACACACAAATACACACACACACACACACACGCGCCAGAGTCTCATCGCGGGCTGGGCGCATCGAGCCTGCGCGCTTCAGAAAGACTGCCCCGCGACTGGTGCTTGACACGTGTTGGAGAGAAAGGCCTGCTGGGACGAGGCGGCGGCGCACAACCACGCCACTCTTGCACAATCGCGTCGTCTAAACACCTCGCGCCTTTCCCGCGCCCGCGCGGAAAAGTCTGGGCCACCTGGGTCCGCGCGGCGGGCCGGCAGACCCACGACCGCGAGGCGACTGGCGGGCGGGGCCAGGCGGGGGGCTAGATCATCTCGACCCTCAGGGTCCGCATGAACATAGATATCTTCTTCGTATCCCAAAGGTGCGACAGGGACTCGACCCACAGCCGCCTGGCCGCAAGCATGTCCCTGCTATTGATGGCGAACTGGTGCGCCGGGTTCCCTGGCCACTGCATCTTCCCAAACTTCGGCTCGAGGAACGAATTGACTGCCAATCGGCGGTTGTCTCTGCTAATAATCTTGTGGAATGCGTTGCTGGGGATGACGACGCCCTCTCCCGCTTTCAGCCTCATATGGAAAAACCATGCGTACTGATTGCCAGGCTTCTGCTCTCGCATCCGTCTGCGCCAATCCAGATGCCCCTCCACCAGCGGCATCTTTATGGAGCCGGAGCAGCGCGGAGGGAAGATGATGACGTCGCACGACCCCGTCGCCTGCGACTGCACATTGTCCCACTCGTCCACGTGGAACTGCCCCGGGGTCGAGCCAGGCCACACGAAGCTGTGGGTGTGGCTCACGAGATGGTCGGGGGCGTCCAAAAGGGGGGTGTCCAAGCGGGGGGGGTACAAATCATGGCCGGCGGCATGTGCGCGGCCCAGGGGCGGGCTGGAGACGCAGCGAAAGAAAAAGTAGGGCCATGAACTTGGGGGAGATATCGTGGCCCCCGCCGTGACATCCACACCCCCTGGTTCCCCCCCCCCCCTCCCCCCCTTTTTGCCGCCCCCGACATGGCCGACTCCGAGCTTCTCCGCGAAATTCAGGGCCTCGGGGAAGCCGGGGAGCCTCCGCGCGTTGACCTCCGGCGCAGAGGGGGGGCGGGGCCTGGGGCCGTCGGCGCCGTGCTTCTTGGCTCCTTCGTGGCAGGCGGCTCCCACGCAGGGGGGCCCAGAGCGAGGCTGTCCCCTTCCGGCAGGGCTCGAGTGGAGCAGTGTTTTCCGTGTTCGCTCTGTTTTCGTCATCTCCCCAGTTCTGTCTTCGTTCTCCACATCTGCTGCGGAACGACGTCAAAACGAGAACGGCCCACGAAACTGCCAGAACACCGCTTCGCTCGAGCCCTGCTTTCCGGGGGGGGGGGCGCCCGCTCTCCCTCGAGCGAGGAAGGCGCGTGCAGGAGGCCTGCCCGAGGGCACACGGAGCTGGTCCGCGGTGGCCCCCCCCCCCTCCGTTCTGCCACTGCGTGCGCGCCCGCTGGCCTGCACTGGCTACCTACCAGACCACCCCAACCCAACCCGAAGACCCGAATTTCGGGTTGGGGGGGGTAAGGGTTCCACATGTGTTTTTTCGACGTTCCCAGACCCCCCCCAACTGGAAATGGAGGGCAAATTGAGGCCTTCGGGTTTGGTTGGGGTGGTTTGGTGGGTGGTGATGCACGCGTCCTCTCCGTTGCGCCTGGCTTCCGCTGTCAGCACGGCTTCCCATCTCGCCCCATACACGAGCTCGTCCTTGCGCTCCGCTTCCTCTGCCGGCGTCCTCTGTTGCGCATGGCCTCTTCTGTTGCGCATGCCTCCGCTGTTGTCCGCTTGGCTTCCTCTGCTGTTCCAACGGCTCCGAAGGGCTATTCCAATGGCGGCCCAACAATCGCCAAACAATCGACAAACTCAGAAGTGGCGCAGAGTAGAGCAGAGTAGGCTACAGAAGGGTAGATGAGTAGGGCATAATTTGAGAAGAACATGCAATACAATAAGAGTAGAGCTGTAACCGGCTGATGGAGGCAGATATGGTCTTTCCTGATACAAAAATTAAAGTTCGAGTTTGGGTTCGCGCAGATGGAAAATCGAAAGATCGAGTTCGAAACCCACAACAACCCCAGGTTCGAAATAAGTTCACGACTGCCCCCTGGTACAACGACGACTTTCCAAACTTTTGAACTTTTTGGGACTTCTCCAGACTTTCTTGCACCTTTTTTGAAGGCTGTCTGGACTTGTTCGAATATATTGACCTTATTTTCGAACTTGCTTGGAACTTGTTTTGAACGTTTGAACCTTTTTCAAACTTGTTTCTCGCCGCCGAGCGCTATCTGAACTTGTTCCGAACTTGTTCCTCGCCGCCGAACATTTTCTGAACTTGCTTCTCGCTGCCGAACTTTTCCAAACTGTCTCCAAACTTCAGGATTCCAGCAACGTTGAACTTGAACTTTGTAAAAAGCATTGGCCTCGCACTTTTCCCCGAACTTAGGATATTCTAACAGAAAGGCCGTTCGCGCCCCCGCAGCTCGTTACACGAATAGAGTAGGGGTACAATCTACCTGTGGCTATTTCGGTGGCGTCCCAGCACACGTCCGGCAATCGTCAAAGTCAGAAATAGAATAGAGTAGAGCAGAGCAGAGCTGGGTAATACCGAGAAGAATAGATGTGCATTTTTGAACAGAAAAGGTTGAGTGGAGTGGATGAGAGCAACGTAGGGTAGCCGGAGCAACGTCGGGTTTGATTTACTAGAACAGAGCAGGGTATGAGTAGAGGAACATATGTTATACTAGCAGGAAATATGTTCGAGAAGAGTCGGTAAGTAGAGTAAAGTAGCGTAGGTGACGGTAGGATAGAGTGGTGTGAAGCAGAGTAGAATCGGATAGTTGGTAAAGGAGCATAGGATCGAGTAGACTATAGTAGAGTAGAATGGAGTCGAGGCGTGCCTTGTCCAGTCTGGCCTACCCGTCCAATCTACTCCAATCCACTTCACATCAATATTCTGATCAATTTGGGGTCTGCGCTGGCGGATATTCATGTCAAAGGCCCTGGAGCCCGAGAGCAGCCTCCAGACACGGAAGATAACGAAGAATTGCAGGACGATGGAGGCATGGGAGAGCAATCGGAAACACTGGACAGCATGCCTTCCCCCATCCGATCGACCGATTGACCGATTGACCGAATCACTCGCAACGAAGGCGGCCTCCGCCACGGACGCGGGCTCTGTTCGACACACCTGCGATTGAAAGGCAGCCTCCGAACGACCGTGGAGGACAACGACTCCCCGAGAGAGCGCTGTCGGAAAGACAAGGAAGGCACAGGCTGGACCATAGCTCACCATCTGCAGAGCACCTGCGCGAACCCTCCGAGCAACACTGATGCCAATGCATTGTTATAAAATGCCCTGGATCCTCAGCCGACGTTTTTCCCCAGTTCGGTATTGCCCACGAATTTCTTACGGTCTAGAACTTTGGCTTAGCGTGTCGCGCTGCCGGTTCTGGCCCACTGCACTTCGGCGCGACACGCTATCCACGGCCCCGTCCCCTGGCGTCAATGTCGCGAGCCTTGAAGCACCGCGGAGCGGAGCAACACGCTATCCGCTTGCAGGGCATACACGTCGGTCGGAAGAAGTAGATAAACACACGAAGCAGGAATGCGGATAAAGTTGGCTGGGTTCAGGCCCTCCCAGAGAATAACAAAAAACAGCAAAGTCAAATCGATCAGTGAAGTAGGAAGGCGTTTGAAGTATATTGAGATCTGGGAACCCAGGAAAACCTACTCTGAACGACCGACGGGTAGAGTGTCGCCGGGGCCACCGCCGCGACACGCTGAGCCAAAATTCCTGGCACGACGTGTTGAAGATCCGGCGGGTGCCAAGCACGGTTTGGCCGGGGCCTCATTACGCGGATGGGGTTCCGCCAGGGAACCCCCCCTGGCCTGCATTCCTCACAGGGGACTTAGGTTCCCCTGTCTTGTCCCTCGCCTTCTTGGGGCTCCCTGGGCTTGTTCCTCGGATAACCTTGCGCTTGAGCTCCTCGTTACCCCAGTCTTGTTCCTCGGGCTTGGGTTCCCCGGTCTTGTTCCTTGCTTGGTCTTTTTCCTTGCTTGGGTTCCTTGGGCTCCCTGGTCTTGTTCCTCGTCTTCCCCGGCATTGCAAAGAAATGCAGCATAACACCAAGCAACGCCAACCAATGTCATGAAAAGCAATGCCACGCGGTGCCAAGCCATACCAAGCAATGCCAAGAAATGCCAAGCAACGCCAATCAATGCCAAGCAATGCAACGCACCGCCAAGCAATGCAACGCAATGCCAAACAATGTGCCTTGGGCAGCGTTCCCCTAGATGGCGTGCCGAGCACGATTCTGCGAGCCTCTGGGGGTGGCACATGGGAGCGTCGGATGGGTAATTATGACCCCCCTTCTCCTCATCCTGCCCTCCGCCCCCCTTCGTTCTCCTCCTCCTCCTCCTCCTCCTCCTCCCTTTCCGCCTCCTCCTCCTCCTCCTCCTCCTCTTCCTCCTTCTGCTCCTGCTCCTGCTCCTGCTCCTGCTCCTGCTCCTGCTCCTGCTCCTGCTCCTGCTCCTGCTCCTGCTCCTGCTCCTGCTCCTGCTCCTCCTCCTCCTCCTCCTCCTCCTCCTCCTCCTCCTCCTCCCCAGCCGCCCACTTCCTGGGCCCTCCTGGGGCTGCCTGGCCCTCGGGGGGCTATCTTTCAGAGGGGGGTCCTCGTCGTGCGGGACGGGCGGTGGCACGGGTCCTGGAGACTACATGCTTTTTATCCTCGCGGGTGCTCGCCCGGCATCCATGGCACGCGGCCACACGCCGAGGGGAGCTGCTCGGGGCGGGGCAGCCTGCTCCACGGTAGACCCATACTTACGATGAAGGTGTCTCGCGATCGAGCGTCGCAGGGCAAAATCCCCGCTGGTTCTTGAGGGTGCGAATTGTGCCCAAAAGCTCCTGCGGGTCCCTGGACCATCGGGGGACCAAGAACTTCCGTAAGGGAAACTGAACAATCCGCCTTCATGTGGCCGATGTCGGAAACCCTGAACCCAAAAATGGGTTCATCTCTTTTTGGGGGCGCATGTTTTACTTCCGCCACCCTCCGTCATTCTGCCGGCTTCCGCCGCGGAAGAGATGACAACTCCTTCGATCCTCGAATGTAAAGCCCTTTCTGGGACGCCTCATGTGCCGGCTGCGCAGAATGGGACACCTCTTGTGGCCAGATGCTGCGCGGTAGGCACGCCTGCCAGAGCGGTTTGGCAGCGGCCAAGTGGGGGAGCAGCGGCCTCTTCTCACCATTCCTCGCCCCGCGTCCTCGTCATCGCCCTCATCCTGAACAGCGTCCTCACCGTCCTCTTCCTCTCATCCTGCTTCTCCTGATCCTGCTCCACATGGTCTTTCGTGCTCATCACCCTCCCTCCTCCTCTTCCCAATCCTCGCCGTGGCCCCCGTCCCCGTCCTCGTGATCGTCGTCGTCGTCCTCCTCCTCCTCCTCCTCCTCCTCTTCCTCCTCTTCCTCCTCCTCCTCCTCCTCCTCCTCCTCCTCCTCTTCCTCATCCTCCCCCGCCCCTCAAATTCCGAATTCCAACTCTGTGCAGCCCTGGAGAGTCGTAACTCAGCGGGGTATCGTCAAGACTACGTGCGTGCTTGCTGTCTTGCCTACCTGCCTGCCTGATTGCTTACCCCTCCTCCCCCCTCTGGTCATAGTCCCGATCCTACGCCTCCTGTTCATCAGCCTCCTACTCCCCGTCGCCCTCTCCCACTGGTTTCCCGAACGATCCCCGGAAGAGTACTAACAGATTTCATTAGGTGAACTCAGCTGTGGCGGCGAGGGTACCCTAGGAGGTAACAGCAGCAAAAGCAGAGAGAAGCGCCCAAATGCTGGAGGGCCACCCTTCCACAGCTGCTGAAGTTCAAGGCGGGGGGCCCTGTAACTTCCGACCACATCATTGTTTGTCAGTTGTCCATAGTTATGTTTCTATTGGGACATATACATACACATTGCGTGTCGCGGGCGGGATGGCGGGAGAGGCTCGGGACGTTGACGCCCGGGGACTGAGAAGTGGATCGCGTGTCGCGCCGAAGCGTAGTTGGCCAGAGCCGGCGGAGCGACACGCTG